CAGGTAATCGTCAAAAGTAAATTCAAATAAGGTATTCATTAAAAATATTGCAACATATTAAAATTACTATAAAAAATGGCACTTTTCTAAAATATAATATTTTATTTTAATAAAATTTGTTATTTTAATGTAGTGTTATAAAATGGGTTATCAAATTTAAAAATGTCATACTTAATAGTGGCCTATAACACTTTAAATACTTAAAAACAATAATATCGGTACGTTTGTAACATGAAATGAATGTTATAATAATTATAACATGATTTATCTAAAATGTTGTGTTTTATAATTTTTTTATTGCAATCATTTTACGAGAAACCAAATTAAACCTTATACCACTGCAATATGATCGCTTCTGTTTTGGAGAACTAAATAATCATCTCAAAATCGTCGTTGTTCAGCTATTAACCGCTAGATGGCTGCACATAGATTGAAATGTCAATGTAAAATGAAAACGTCGTAACTTGCAATATAAGGTACGCAATACCTTGGTATTGAACACTCGACGATATCGCAACAAGGTAAATTTAAAACTATATTAACAGTCCAGACATTAATTCTTTATATTAGAAACTACGTCACATAGTCTTCAATTTTGTAATATGACTTTTGAATTAAAATTTTAATGTAGTTTTTAAACTCAGGAAATGATAATCTTATCTAATTATATGCTCCGGATAAAATGGCCGTTTGCCATAAACGAATTCGTGGTACCATTGAGTTTGGACTTGGCTGCAAGGTTAATATAACATTTAATGTAGTCTCTCTTGTCTCTCCATTATCCACTCGATGTGTTGTACTACACGCGGGGTGTGGGTGCCTGGAGACCTATCATACAGGCTAGACCTAGTTTAGGCTCCAGTCTCCCACAAATGTAACTAACTAATCGAAGTACCTTATTATTAATATGTGTCCTTTAGCCTTGTGAGGAGAAATAAATATTTTGTATTTTAGCAATCGAGTCTTAAGGCACTTCCATTGTTTTTCTTCATCCGTGTACGTAGAAATGTCAAATTAACCATTATTGTTGGAATTGCCAACAATGGACACTGGGCTTTAGTAGGTTAATACGCAATCTCACGGCAGCTTTTTTTTTATAAAATTTTGTAGCTGTATTATTTTTTCGTTCTCATTTTATAACACTAAATCAAAATACAATAATTACAAGAATATTAATTGATTCATAATAAAAATTACGTCCATTGTTAAAAATCATGGCACAAAATATATATAGTAAAAACAATATTAAAACAATGTAATATACAAAACATTTTCTTACAATTGTGCCTAATACTATGCGTATCCTATATAAACTGACTGAATTTTCATTTGAACAATTATTATGCCCTCCTAATCATAACTAACGTTATCGATATTTTTAATTATTAACATATTATATGGAATCAGCGTAACCAGACCCACAACCCTATAAGTAATTTTTTTTATATCTTATTTAGTTTCAAATTGACTGTTCAGAAAAATCAGTGTTATTGACATTTTTCAAAGGAAAAAATAGTAGTTTGTGAGACTGTTACATGACAAAATTCATTAAAATACGAGTGTGGGTTTATAAACATCACACGAGTGTTTTAATGTATTATGTACAGTTACATACAATGCTTTATCTACACACATATTATAAGCTCTCTGTGATGTGTTCAGGAACCGCATGTTACGAATGGCGAAATGGCGGCAAATAAAAACTTTTCTCACGGCACACAACCGTAGTTTTTATTTTTAATTCTTGACAAACTAGAATCGGCCCCAACTATCATATCGTTCGATATCTTCCATCCTCTAAGATATCAAGTAACGAGTGAGATTTGTCAAAAATGTTTTCTATTGACATTTCATTTCGAATAAAACTTCATCTCGACTGATGTTAGAATTGAGGTCGAATGAAATTGCCTTATTTTTCAGAGATGTTCGAAATTTAAATCGAATTGGATGATACATTGACTTACAATTATATGGACGTCGGGTCCGCGCTAAAAAGTGTCCGCACTTGTAAGGCGCTAAAATCGTATACAGAGCGCGACACTCCGCTTTAGTCTTCATTTGTTCTACTGACAGCGCGATACTGCGATGACATTACAATTTAAATTTCGAATAGGTTAACTTGGGACATTTTTTTCGTGGTTTTTGTATTAGACCCGTCGTCCATTTATTTGTAAGTCAATGGGATGATATTAATAAGCAATAATAACATTTTCACAGATAAGAAATTTGTTTAACAAAACCAAAAACAATTTATGATGGTCGTAATTTGCAGTTTTTGAACACATCATAGAGGGTTCATATGAGTGTAGACAAAAAATATATGAAGAGACCAAGGAAATAACGATCTAAGTCACATAGAATACGTTTTGAGTTAATATCGACATCCAGTAGCCGTAGCATGGCAGAATATGTGTGATAAACCTCCGCGTGACAATATTTAATTCAGTTCATTAATCTAAGTCGCGTATTTGGTAATCTACTATTGTTACACATTTTGAAGAACAAGGACAACGATAGCAAATTGCGTATATAGCTTATTTCTTTGTCGCGCTCAATTTTTACTTTGATAAAATGTTTTAAAATCAGCTGTGAGCCATGTTTGGCAATATGTCAATATTTTGCAGTTTTTTTTTATTGGTCGTCGGCGCTGACGATGACATAAAAATGTGCTCACCATGTTCGCTATTGTGATAAAATTTTAAAATACCGGTATATCACTCGAATTTGACAGCTAAATGTGGATATAATAGCTTTATCGAGGCGGCGTACTACGGGGTGTTTCGGTAAACGCTGAGCGTACTTTGCCTAAATCAGAAAAAGGCCTAATAAGGTTCAATGTCCTTAAAAATTAGCTTTTACTCAATGCTTCCGACTAAATGGTGGAAAAGTTAAAAATAGTTTTTTATTTAAAATGGATTACATAGCGTTACATACATTTCAGTCAGCATTGACTTTATTTAATGTAGTATTTGCACGTGTCCTTTCACGAATATTTAAAAGTTCTCCATATTAAAATTTTTTTTTCCTAAAATTCTCAAGTGACTTTGATCATTTTTTCCCTGGACTCTTCATATAATCTCGAAAGTTACCAAAATGTAAATGCGTTAGTTGTGACAAAAAGGGCAGAATACATAACTGTGTATTGGCTCCGTGCTCAAAAGCAGCAGAAGAGGTCAATAGTAAGATGAAAAGTACACACAAAAAACGCTTAAAGTGAATTTTATATTTATAAACTGACAGACAATTTATGTTCAAATTGTTCAATTCAGAACAATGTTTTACGAAATTGACCCTTAGTATAATACGGCAACAACTGTTTTTCACAATTGTCAAACCTGTTTTTTCCGCCTTTTGGATTTGGAGCATAGTAGCGACATCTCTTTAAAATCGTTTAAACTAAACTTGTTTATCTGTTTTATCGACTGAGATACTATAGTGCTAAATTCTTTAGATTCTGAGTTAATAAGGCTTAGGTCACAAATTCGCAGCGGTGATGTGTTCAGTGGAGCGTGTTTGGTTTGCGCGTACAATGTGTATTGTATTGGATGTATCCAGTGTTGCCATGTGCACCGTAATTACGGTAAATGCACTGTACTCAGCACAAATCTACCACCTACCGACGGTCGGAATCTGCAGGAACTGGATTTTTGCGGTTAAATTAATAATAACCCTTTAAGGAAATCTTTTGATGCAGCAGTCTATCCAAACGCATAGGCAAATGTGCGTTAATGTTGAGCCTGGCGAGGAAATGTTGAATAGATTAAATCAAAACATTTATAAAAATTAAGAGATTGTATTTGATAATTGTTGTTTTATAAAAAAGATCAGATTTAGACTAATTTTTATTAAGGTATTCGTTTTATCATTTTGTAAATGTTTAGATTTAATTTTTTTTCTTATTATTATTGTAATCCTTTGTAAGTTAGTTAAAAGTTAATTATGGACTAAAATGGTTTTTTTTTAATATTTACTTCAGTACAGGATAAAGTAAGGTAATTCACTCCCACAAAAGGTTATTATTACTATGTTAAGTTACTTTTCAAAGTATATTATACCATAATTACACTGTTTTTTTTCCTGGACCAATCACCGTAATTTCTTAGGATCTAACGTATTTTACGAACAGAATCAACGTTGACCAGATTTTGAACATAACATCGCCATCATAAGAACAATGTTTAACTGCCTCCGTGGCCGAACGGTTACCATGCCGGACTGCCACGCAGAGGTCCCAGGTTCGATTCCCGGGCCGGGAGAAATGTTTGTATGGCTTACATTTATTTCTCTCGTGAGTTTGGGTGTAATTTGTGGTTGTCTATGTGTGTGTCCATGGCACCCGCGACACAGGGTTTCCCTAGTGCGGGGCTATGTTGAATGTGTGCGTTATTTAATGTTTGCGCGCAATGTACGCGCAAAAAACGCCCCGCTTAACGCAACACCGTTCCAAATTTGCGCGTTTGTATCGATGCCAAATTCGTCATGTGTAATCACTCTTACTCCACCTGACCTTATCGATACCAGCGCCCGTAGCATGGCTACGCAATATGGTCGCAACGTGCGCGATAAAATTGGAATAAGTGCGCGTTATCGTCTGTCTCAATCAAATCTTATTTAGATAGCCAATAGAGCGCGCTTATTTTAATTTTAGCGACTATCATGCGTAGCCATGCTACGGGGGCCGAAGTATCAATTAATGTGCGAGATAAACCACGGTTTTTCAGGAGAGCCAAAACACGATTTTTTTTTTAAATCTGTCTATAACTTTTTACTGTCCGCACCAATTTTAATTGTGTCTAGAGCAAAGTTTCTTAGAATTCCCTCTTCTTTCATGATATAAAAGAAAGATTTTGGAATGCCCAGTAGTTCAAAATATAGCATGTCTTTTACATTAAAAAAAGATGTTCAGTTGCGCCTTACGTTACTAATATTTTGGAATATTTTAATTCTATTGTAAAGGATCCTTTGCAATAGAATTATGTATAATTTCCTATTTCTCTTCCTGCTTACACAATGCTCGACGTAACGTAAAGCACAACCAAATATCTTTTTTTAATGTTTTTTAATATATGGGACATTTTAAACCACTAGGCATTCCTAAATTTTAATAATACCAATCGATAGAGCGGGAACTTCCGAATCCAATGATATATGTAACTCATTTTCGACAAAATGTCCCTTACGTTAATTGATACTTCTAGTGTCGTTATGTTAAATTTTTAAACTGTTCTATTTAAAGTACACAAATGTATCCATTCATTTCGTTCATAGAACCTTCAAACCTCTTTCTTGAAGTTGTCAATTGTGGCCTTATTACACTTAGGGTGAGATATTATTAGAATAATGTCAAGAATCAAACAAAACGGACATATGGAGCCAATAAAAACTACTCTACGTACAAGTTATAAGATATCTGGGAAAACTCCTGTCGTGTCACCTGTGAAATAAATAAAAAAATTAATAACAACAATGTATCACACACCCACATTATAGTCGATTTGTTTAGAAACTTAACTAAATGTAAACAATCTATATACTTTACAATTTCATATGAAGCTAATTATTCTGTTAAAAATATTCAATTAAGCTTAGAATAATACGCATAGAAACCTAGTCCGCACACGCTAAGTGAGGCAAATTGAAGCGCTCCCAAAGGGCCTACACGAGCGGGCGGGCCTTCAGTGTTCAAGGTCAACTTGCACCGCGAACAGCTCCAGAATTTCAGCTAAAATGACGAAATGTGCGGTAAATGAGTGTAAAAATACGTCAGACAAACATAAAATAGATACCAACATCACATTCCACAAGAAAGTAATGCGTTTCAACTTGTATTTTTATATAAATATTCACTAAAACCGAAAATTAACCTACTACTAAAACTAGCCTACATGAATTTGATTTTTGCCTCACTTGTGACAGTTCGTTTGATATGAAACTATCATTCTATGCGTTATTATTCTAAGCAATTAAGCTAAGTACTCGTATTTTGTATTTGAAGTAAGTGTAAATCATTTTTAACCGAAAAATATGGAGGAGGTTCTCAATTCCACTGAATTTTTTTTGTATGTATGTTATGTTATAATTCCGGTATTTGTGAACCGATTTTGATGATTCTTTTTTTTTTGTTGGAAAGAGGGTACCTCCATAGTGGCACCATTTAATTCTGAAGAAAATCATCCACCTCTAAAGGTGGCTGTTCACGCATGAAGATTCATTTTTATAAATAGCGCCTAAATTTTACTATAAGGAGCAATTATTTTAATGGTTGATTTTGCTATTCTCCAATTCAAGGCGTTTTTCTCTCTCATTATACTTTGAGTAGTGAGAACCGATTTTTATTATCTCTTGTGTCAAGTCCCATATAGTGGCGAACTAGGGGATGAATCCGGGTTTGCACACTTTCCGGTAACCAATTTCAATGAAATTTGGTAGTTATATGTAATTCCACGTACTTTTGAGGTCGGTCTTTTTAGTACTCTGTACTGAGACATCTCAAGACATCTCAAGATTATTCACATTTAGTGAAGTACTTAAATACTTCACTAAATCTGAACAATCTTGAGATGTCTATACCAATTTTTACTTCAATATTAACTTTTTATTTCAATATTTATTTTTTATTTCAATATTAACTGGCGTGTTTTCACCATTAGCAACAACAATGGAATTAAGAGTCTATAAGCTCAGCTCCTCACCTCAGCTGGAATTCAAATTTTTCCCGGTTCACTTTGATAGGTTCGAGTGGCAAGGACACCGGGTTTCTTTCAGAATTATTTTTTTACAAAACGAAATTAACGCCATTCGAAAAATGTATATCGCATTAGTGTACATGTTCTATTTAGTTCAGTTGATATAAAAAAAATCATTGGTATGTCGCACTACTATTACAATAGTGTTGTAACTCAAAATATGTGAAATTCAAGATTACATCATTTCTGAACGTAAAATTTGTTTCTCTACATGTCAATAAAATTGTCATTAGAATATTGTAAGAAACCATTAAAATACATCTACTTAACCCAGAATGAGACAAACATTTTGTGCGTTAGTTTAGAACAAAACAGCCCTTACTCAAAAATATGAATTATTTTTAAATATAATTTTAACCTATACATAAATTATAATAATCTTTCATGGGAACTGAGTAATTCGTTTTTCAGCTATACTGAATAAATTCACATTTTGAGTTAATACACTTTTCTATTAGCAGTGCGAAACGTAAAGCACCTATAGAATACAGCGGTTTTCTTGTAAAATTTCGAGGTAAGTTTTTGTTTAACATTTGGAAACAGGAATAAACGCGTTTACATACGTATTTTTCACACTTACCTAGTTTCCCGACGTTTCGGAAAGGTTGCACGCACTGGCCGTGGTCATGGTCAACACCTATTCGTATGTAAACGCGTTTATTAGTCTCTGCCTCCGTGGCCGAACTGTTACCATGCCGGACTGCCATGTCCCAGGTTCGATTCCCGGGCCGGAAAAATATTTGTATGGCCTACATTTATTTGTCTCGTGAGTTTGTAATTGTAATTGTCAATTTGTGTGTCCATGGCACCCGCGACACAGGGTTTCGCTAGTGCGGGGCTATGTCGAGTGTGTGCGTTATTATTATTTATTCCCATTTCCAAATGTTAGTATAATGCAACGCGAAAGTTTAAAAGTATACATATAAGTTTTTGTTTGTTTTATATCGTGATAATTTTTAGGAATGGTCTTTTCACAACGTGTAGTGGATCAGTGTGCATCCTGAATTTTACTATAATATTTTTTCCAAAGTGATTGCTTCAACACTGCTGTGCGGAATCAACAAAAGCTATTTGGAGTAGCATAGACACTTAAGTGCTACTGGGTATTTGTTTTGCAAACACGTACATACTTCAAAAAAGGGTGTTCACTATTCCACTGTACCCATTGACTTACAATTATATGAACGTCGAGTCCGCGCTAAAAAGTGTCCGAACTTATAGGGCGTTAAAATCGTATACAGAGCGTCATTCACGCTTTAGTCTTCGTTTGTTCGACTGACAGCGAAGCAAGCAAAATTAGACAGTACTGCGATGACATTACAATTTAAAAGCTTTTTCATATTCCTTTACATGTCACTACGTTTAAATAGGTTGACTTGGGACTTTTTTTCGTGGTTTTTGTATTAGACCCGTCGTCCATTTATTTGTAAGTCAATGACTGTACCACATATTACTTACTAGTTACTACATTAACAGATACATAACTCTCATACAAAACTAAAATACCTACGTTCTAAGAGCCTACTAAATCTAACCATAACACCAGGAGCTCACTACGAAGAAAAAGGAACCTAAGCACGCACTCAGAGAGGTGAAAATAATTAATGTATTGTAATATGATTTTATTGAATAGTATGACGTTTTTCATCACATTTGCTCGTAAACACTGTCGACGTGTGAAGTCGACCGTAATATTTTAAATTATGCCCACGGGCTGTTTCATTACATTATCGCCCTAAGGATTTTGGAAAAAAGTGTTTACGCTCTAAAAAACTGAATGTACATTTCACATATTAAATTAAAATACTAGTGTAAAAAATCCATCCGTGTATTACGGCCCCATGGACACATTTACTATCATGCACTGTGAAGCTGATGAGTTTCATGCTTACCCACAATTTTCTTTTATTTGTTAATTGTATTCTATTTAGTACTAGTAACATTCCATTTTTATTTATACATTTGTTTACAAGTAATTCTTTGTTAAGTATGTTTACATTTAGTTAATATATAATTGTTAATTTGTAAAGCCTAGACGGTGAACACCGGTGTACGGACAAACCTAAATTGGTTTTTGCTACACCGTTAAAGTTAAGTTTTTATTTGTATTTACTTTTAATTAATAATAAATAAATAAATAAAACATAAACTTCAAGTATATAAAAAACTTTGCAAGTGAACCATATTTTATTAAATTTACTTTGTGAATTCAATTATTTATTTTATATGTAATACATTGGGATGCATGCGTCCCGTGCCTTTTATAACATTCTAATTCGAGTTATCTATAGAAGAATAAAAAAAAAACAAAGAATCCGCCATTATTCATAAAGTCTACTACTAATAAAGGTTACCTATCAGTAATCCGAAATGACACTTTCCAGAAATAGCGTTTGCTCGAATTTTCATAACCTCGAAAGTAATTTAGAGAGGAAAACATTTTCTTTTAAACTTAACTTAACCTAACCGAACCTAATCGTGTCTTTGCGATAAACATCCAACATATCCTGAAAGAACAACGGTTTTGTTATAATTCGGTTTTCGGTGTAATGAAAATTCGAACAAATGTTATTTCGGAAATAAAAAATGAATAGTCAATACTCACTTTAGTCAAAGTTCATGGTAGTGCCAGTATAGAAGTCGTCGAACTCATCGAAGTTCTCAGGATTGATAGCCCGGATTTGATCCAGGATATCGGCGTCTATGAAAGTCTGCTCTTGCATTGGTGTAGGCGACATATAGCTGTTTTCGTTTTATTAAATATGCGTTGAGGTTTTTTTAATTATAGAGTAATTTTCGTTGATGGTTAAAATTATGAGTAATTCTCATTGATATTGTAGTTTAATTTGATTTTTCGATAATGATTATAATAAATTTTCGGTGATGGTGTAAAATAATTTGAATTTTATGTAAACAAAAATTTTTTTAGTCAACATTAATTTTTTTGTAGTTTTCATTAAACAATTTTATTAAATATAGTTTTTTGTTGTGTATGTGGTGTTTAAAGGAAAATGTTTATTGTCGTTGTAATCCGATGTGGACGATCGCAGCAGGAAAATCCAGGAATCGGGAAAGAAAGAGAAAATGCAACACATTAATAGGTGACGGTCGTGGATAGAAAAAGAAAACTAAAAAAATCTAGACTTTTTATGATTCGCCAAAATGGCAGCACAGACAAAAATAGCAAAGGCAAAATATATACGCCCGACGTTGAAGTAATAATTACATTTCAGTTATGTAAAAAATTTTTTTTTAAAACAAAGAAATAAAAGACAAAATAAACGACCGTCTGTGTTGCATTTTCACGAAAGGTGTTCTATAATGGGTGGAAAAAAATTGTCAAACCTTATCATCACTCTCTGGTTAAACTCTCGTAACAAACGTTGGGTAATTTTCGGCACGTCGTGTTTTTGTTTCATCACCTTCATATTGGCTGTCTAGCTTATACGAAAACCGTTCTGCACCCTCACCTTTCAAAACCGTTATTCTAAGACGGTATCATTGGCTTACAAATAAATGGACGACGGGTCTAATACAAAAACCACGAAAAAAATGTCCCAAGTCAACCTATTTAAACATAGTGACATGTAAAGGAATATGAAAAAGCTAAAACGTTGAATTTCAAATTGTAATGTCATCGCAATACTGTCTAATTTTGCTTGCTTCGCTGTCAGTCGAACAAACGAAGACTAAAGCGTGAATGACGCTCTGTATACGATTTTAACGCCCTATAAGTTCGGACACTTTTTAGCGCGGACCCGACGTCCATATAATTGGAAGTCAATGGACGGTATGCACTGTACGTGCATATAAAAATTAACAGCGAAACATTTTGTTTGACAATTAATTTCCACCATAAAAATAACACAATAAATTTAATTACTTATAATTGTATTAGAAATACATCAAAACATACATACATGCATTCAACATTTAACACTGTCATGTATATTATTATCTAAAAAAAGTAAAAAAAATGTGAATTGCATGGCGTCCCCATTTTAAAATCCAAAGACGATTCTCAAAATACCTCAAATTGCTCAGTCGTTTATAAATTGTACTGTCAAAAATAGCACAACCTTATGTAGAGACATTTTAATGTAAGAACGTTACTAAATTGTACTGTTAAAAATAGCACAACGTTATGTAATGACAATTTAGTGTAAGAGCGTTACTAAATTGTGATGTCAAAAGTAGCACTACCTTATTTAATGATATTTTAGTGTAAGAGCGTTACTAAATTGTGCTATCAAAAATAGCACTACCTTATTTAATGATATTTTAGTGTAAGAGCGTTACTAAATTGTGCTGTCAAAAATAGAACAACCCACAAATACTCCAAACATCACCAATCCGCAACTACTTTAAAAATGCTTGGTCCATCATTTTCTCATGCAATTCACATTTTTTGTCGATGTATAATTAAATCTAATCTACAATCATTTAATTAATATTTAATATTAATAATAGTCACATCCATTGATATTTTAATACTTTTTTGCGTGTATAAATTCGCCAGAATAGAATATAGGAGAAACATAAAGATTTATATAATTTTATAAGTAACATTCAAACCATTTCGCCTTACGAACGAATGGACATAACTTGCTATTTTGTCAGTAAAAAGACTGTCACGTAATATCGATAATTCAGGGTTCGACGTGATAATTTATTTTGATAAAAATATACCTTGGTAATTGTTCTGATATTTATAAAATTAATTTTGTATGTATTTGCATCAGAGACGTATCCAAACGTATCAAATGTCAATCTCAAAAAAATTACAAGCCAAAACGTTTTCACAAATATTTTTCTTGGTGATTATTTAGTTCCCTTATTGTAAGTTATTTTTAGTCAACAATTAAAGAGACAAAACTATGACTCATGGATACGGATATCAGATATTTATTTGATAATTATTAGATAATTATCAAAGTAATATATCTTAATTATTTCCAACCTTGCGATTATCCTTTTTTTGTTCTGTTCGTCCAAAAAGAATATGGCAAGAGTCAAGTACTTTAGGTACTGCCTCGTCTTCATTGGTGAGTTAACAACTCTGATCTAACCCGGTATCGTAATAATTGTAAGTTATGTCCATTAGTGTTTTTAAGCTAAACATAGACAATTGACAAATATTTTTAACACTTAGTCCAAGTTACACATATTTTAAGTTTGCTAAATAAAGCGAAAGATTCTCTAACGTAGTTTTAACTATTCTAAACAATAATTGTTATCAAACATTGAATAAACTTGTGCATATCAAAATTAACTCTTTATTTTTTCTTTTTATTTCTCCATAAAGTAGTGATATTAACAATAATAATAACTTTTAGGCCATGGGAGAAGCTAGTTTCTGAAATAGATATCCATAATAATAATGCTGTGGGGTGTCATTTTGATCCGGCACGTTTCGTCCACCGGTTCTTGAACCTGAATCCCTGACCCCGGCCGACTGTGGTATTACCAGTGAATACCGCATCTCACATTTTAGATATTAAAAATTTATTAGGCCCTCGGAGAAACAATAGTGTAATATATATAATAATGTGCTGGACAACCACACGGCAACGTAACTCCGGGGCACTACTCGAAAACATCAGGTCTGGAACCAATTTAGAAAAGTTTCTTTCCTAAATGGATACCAAACTCAGAACCTCTTCGGCAGCTGCCGAATCAATAGCCCCCTTTACACAGCCACTCTACCACGTGTGATCAGGAGTGTACAGATTTGAGCGCGGGAAAGCCTGTACGTTCTTTCGCGCACGATAGTGTCTGTGTAATATTGTTACTGATAATCGTAAAAAAAAGAAAACTTGGACTACATTAATTTTCTAAACTTAGCATAAATGTCACGTCACATGTACTTTTAAAAACATGAATTAATATTCCACGTTCTTAAATTAATTCAATGTCAATATTTTGAATTCAATTGTAACGATATGAAAAGTATGGGGCGATTCTTGTTTTTTTTCAAATGGCAATACTGAACCCATGCTTCGCCCCAACAGTAACGATGGGGTTATAGTATGCGAGCTACGTTAAATTTGCATGCTTTTTTAGCTTAGCCATTGCTTCTATGATTTAGAAGCCTTTCTAAAAGTTGACGTGCAAATCGTCGAACTAAAAAGTTGTTAAAGTAAAAGTGGGTGCAGTTCAATATAGTACGTATGAATTGTTATTTATTTCGAAATAAGTGTTATTACTTATTACACAATTTAAATTCAAAATAATGCACGAAGTAAAAAAAAATCCATTGACGACATGGTGCGCGATTTTATATTAAACTACCTAAGTCTTATTTCCTAGATTTTTTTTTCTTTAAGTCCCAATGATTTTATAAGTAACTTTGAGAGATACGTTTGTGACTCTTTTTATCTTGGACTTCTAACCAAACTTGTAAGCGAGTTTAGAAAAGTCTGTGTCCTACTTTGGGTCGCTTAGTAAACAACGCCGCTCAAGTAATTTCCAGCAATTTTTAAAGAGTTTAGAGCCTTTGTCTGTATTTCTGTGTGTCTGTCTTATTATTTTCATGATACCACGTGACGGGACGAACAAGTCGTGCGCCTGGTGGTAAGTGACAAGCCTGTCCATAGCAGTTACCATGCCAATTTAAATCGCAAAAACCTGAGGAGCGCTGCCATCCTGCCCATTATCCACTGTTCACTTAATATTGTAAAAAAAAAGCTCTTTTCCCAGTTAGTACAGGGATCTTAGTCATAAGATGAATATTTATTTTTGTTCCACACGTTCGATCGATGGAAGTCCAAAAATGTAAGTAAATTAATTTGCTACTCCGCGAATCCAGTGAAGGTTAAATCGTGCAAAATAGTTTCGCTTGTATTGAAAATTGTTTCATGCAGTTAATTATCCCACCCTCCCTCCGCATAAAATTAATAACACAAGCGCAACTATAGTCACAGACACCACCACCAAAAAATAGACCCGACACGTCTTTCGCCTCTCCACGAGGCATCCGAGGCGGCCGAGCGTCAAACAAAAGCTGTTTCTAACCTAAGAAATTCATTTATTGGCTTACACATAATATTATGGTGTCTTTATTAACTTTCGGGAGTACACGGTTTTGTATTGGGCTTCTTAAATTTTAAATTTCTTTTAATGACGTAAATTTATATTTTATAGAGCGGTGTTGTTTCCTAAGCGACAATATACAACACTAATGGACGTGACGTACAACTTTGACAACATTGCATTATGTACAGTAATGAGGACGTCATCTTGCCACAGGATTTAAGGGCGACTTCAAATTAGACGCTTATAGAAGCACCGCAGTGGCGTGACTGTGGCGCTTCAGTACTTTTAGTTCACTACACTGTAAAGGCTTCTGTAATTAACTAAAAGTAAACAAATTTCAGCTATCACTTGATTAACCGGTGAAATACAATATTTAGTAGTGTCTTTCATACGTCATATTATTACTGTTAAATTTGGTCGCATAGCTACCGTCTTTTCAAAGGCGTGCGAAATTTGTGATACATGTTGTATATTATATATATTTAGTACTATTTTATATGGGTAGTTTAAAATTAACCTGAAAATATTATCACATATTTTCAACAAGTTCATTTTAAGTTTACAAAAAGTAACCAGGTAATGGCCTCATAAAATACAACATTACGATTTGTTTACATTTAGCGAATTACCTAGACCTATGTAGTATAATTGTGATTACAAAAGTGGCGCTGTAGCTACGCTTCTAAATATTGCATGAAAATTAGTAG